CAGCCCCCGGCCGTGCCGTTCCATTCTGTGCCGTGCTGTGCCGTGCTGGCGGGATGGAGGAGCGCTACAGCAAGGCTGAGACCCTCGCCCTGCGGAGGAAGCACATCGGGTAGGGGCTAGGAGCGTGGCCGGGGACGGGGTGATGAGCATGAGGAGGAAGGTCTCCGGCAGCTGCACTGTTCCCCCCGTTGGTGCCACTGCCCGGGAGCCCCGCAGAGCGCTGCCGGGGGCTGGCAGCGCTGGGCATTCCCTCCCGGAGTCCCCAAAAAAAATCGTCAGCCGTTTTCCGTCCGCGTCTAATTCCCTGGGCGACAGGAGGATGGAGTCATTTAACACATCACATCAAACCCTACATCGCTTTTTCTAGAGATCAGAGCAAGCAACCTGAGTGTGGTACCCAGGTGTATGTCTAAATTGCGGTTGTGCAGGTGTTTGGGTTTTGGTTTGGGGTTTTTTTGTGAATGAACTGTATGCTCCCGGAAAATAGACGTCTTTGTTAAATGAAGCTGAGGAGCTTGCTTAAACTGAGTCTAAGTGGGAGAAATGCAGGAAGGCGGCCGGCAGCTGTGACCTGAGCAATAGTTCTAGCTGTGCACTTACCTCATCCCACTGTATTGCAATATTAGTTACACCAGAATGTGCAGCTATAATTCTTTTATTCAGTAAGTGTTGCCAAGTGAAAATAAGTCTAGATTGTTAAAACCAGTACTGGCTATTTGCTGATTGCATTCTAAATGTATGGCATATATAGAAAGCTCACTAAAGATTCATAAAAGTCATCCTCGTGAAGCTCACAAATCAGCCTCTCTTTGGGGCCAGCTCAATGTTAAGGGACTCACCTGTACAAGGATTAGAGGGTCAGGCTGTGCTGGGCAACCAAAAGGAAACTTTCGCAAATCAGACTGACCTGCTGTAGAAGAAAAATCTGTGGTCAAGATCTGGCTGCTGCTGCTGATGGTGTGGATTGCTTTTAAAGTGTACCAGAGCAGTAGTTAAAGATGTCAGAAAACATCTACACAAAGGGGCTAGAAACTGTGAGAAAGAAAGTAAACAACTTCACTTTCTTGGGGTCACATTTAGGCTTTACAAGTTCGTATCTCAAAATACCCAACAATAACTCTTGAGTTACCTGGAAACAACTGTGTTTATCCAAGCTCACATAAATATTACCAAAAGTTCAGAAGGCTTTCCTTCTGCTCAGTAATATTATTCAACATAATTACATTGGCATGTTCCCATCGGGGGCTGGGGCAGGGGGAAGGGGAAGAGAGTACTTTGAATAATTTTATGAGTCTAAATTTTGCTGGAAGCGATACAGGTTCTTATAAAAAGCTGGTTTTAAAGATTTTATCCAAAGCAGTCAGGATGAAATAGTGAGGGGTTTAAGACCTGCTCAGTACCTCTGAAAATAAAGCCAGAAAAGCATTAGTGTTTTGTTCTTGAATGTGACCTCTATATGGTACAGTCATCCATTGCATAACAAGTTTTTGGCCATAGTATAAAACTATGTTTAACAACATAACTTTATTCCCAGCGAGTTAATTGACCATACATGTTTGTAAGGCATGTAAACAAACTGAGCTGCAGCTTAGAAACAGAGCAGGGCATATAAGGACCTGGAATGACCTGCAGTCGCTATGCTTCTGTGAAACCACTTGCAGACAGGGTCATGCTTTGAATACACGCTTATTAAAGACCTGCTTCTGTTCCTACTGTGCCTGGAGAGGGGCACAGGGGCTGTTTTTAATTTCAGCAAGAGCCCTGCTTGCCCACCATCTGAACCACTCACAAGCTCCTTGCAGAGGGAGGCGGTTGTCTCCAGAGTTGCAAAAAATCACCCCACTCCCCACACTCAAAGGAGGTGGAGCAACTGAGAAATCTAAAATTATGTTATTTTATAATCTTTTAATTTTTTTTAGGCCTTCCTGCAAAGTGTTCTTCGCCAAGGACCCTCTGAAGATAGTGCGTGCTCAGGGCCAATATATGTTTGATGAGAAAGGAGAAAAATACTTAGACTGTATCAACAACGTTGCACATGGTAAGCATTTTAACTGGTAAGACTGTTCCTATTCCTTAATTTCCAATAGGGATCAGAACATGCTTCTTCCAAGTGATGATGTGCATAGTGCTGCTCTGAATCTCCTTGCGTGGTTCAATAACTGACTGCTTGCTAGTAATAACTAATTATTTTCCCCTTTAGTTGGCCACAGTCATCCATATGTGATAAAGGCTGCAACAAAACAGATGGAACTGCTCAATACAAATTCCCGGTTCCTGCATGACAACCTTGTTCAGTATGCACAGCGCCTTACAGCCACCCTGCCTGAGAAACTCTCTGTTTGCTATTTTGTTAATTCTGGGTATGTCTGACTGTTTGGTTTTTTCCATTATGACTACTTTGCTCCTGTTGAGATGGACACTCAGAACAGCTTGGTCTAAATCTTACTAAGTGGGACTTAGTAATAAGCAACAAAAATATTTCCAGTACCGATCGAAGGATCCTTCCTATTTTTACTGTCATATTTAGTGTGCTTAATGCAAGAGAGCCAAAACATAAAACTGGTTTGCTGAAAGCTATGCAAACAAGGGGGAAAAAAGCAAGAAAAGCAAATCAGACTGCAAATTGGCAAATGTTAGGTACGGATTAGTGAATGCTGTCTGTAAATTGACGTATGACCTTGGAAAGGAGTAGTCTTCTTTAGGCGGTCCATTTAGTCTGTGATTGCTTACATTGCCAGAACAGAAAACCTGCAGGGACTTGTGAGCAGAGGGGCTGCTACAGGTCAGGCTGGTAGTTTGAGTCTTCATCTGGGGAGCAGATTCACATTCTCTGCTGCCTGATGGTGTAAGCACTGGGGAGGAGGGAGATGTCATGGAGGGTGGGAGATGGGGTTGTCAACGCTGTTGGTTTTTGAGGGTTTGAGGCTGCAGTGCACTCTCAGCTGCAAAGCGGTCTCACTTGTACCAAGAGGAGGTAAATGTCTAAAAGCAAACTGGGAGAAGGAGAGAAAGCATCTCTTTGTTTGCTGTTTATACAAAGAACCATTTTTATTTCGCCCTCTTACATGGCATTTAGTCTCAACCTTAGCATTGTAATCTGTATGGTAACAGAGCCTGCTGTGTTGGTTTATTATATCCATTAATCCCGTGCTTCGTCTTCTGTGTCAGAATATCATTTTCACTGGGAGCCCCTCCTCACTATTTTGTGTCTGTATCTGCTGTTATGCAGATCTGAAGCAAATGATCTTGCTTTACGACTGGCTCGGCAGTACCATGGGCACCAAGATGTGATCACCCTTGAAAAGTAAGTACATGGAGCAGCTTATGTGAATGCAGCCAGCAACTCCTGTCATTACTTCAGAAGTGGCTTTGCAGTAACCCCCTGCTGTTTGTACTCCACTGCCTGCTGAAAGAAAAGCTTTGTTGCTTTCATACTAGAAGAGGTCAGGAAATCCCTTTTCCTCATTTGGATAAACACAAGTTTTTAAGATCTCTGAAAAATAAGCTTGTCACAACCTCAAAAGGTCAATCACCTGTTACAGGGCATTTCCCACAGAGACTTGAAGCAATTCAGGCCAAAGACTTGAATGTTGGTTTCCAACATCAATGATTGGTCTGGCCACAGGGCTGCTCTGGAAAAGGGATTTCTGTCTGTCACACTCTGCTGGACACGTTTCTTTTTGTACAAGTAAATATTATGTGGGCAAGAAGAAAGATCCTGTAACTCTGCAGCAGTGCTGCACTGATGCTTAACTCTCCTCAGTGAACACAAGTACATACACAAAACCAAGCAGCTCCAAAATCAGGAGGCACTGAGCAAGCCATCACCCATAGGGAAGGTGGCCAACCATGTCTCTGGGTTTCCCTTGCTGAGATGCAGCTGTAGGCCTGGATCTTCTTCTCAGGTTGTGATTAGAAAGTTCAGCCAGAGCAACTGCAAGAGCACATGTCTGTATTTGAACAGCACAAAGCTTGTTTGACTCAGCCGTGCTCAGATCCCTATTAGCCCCCCTTGACTCACGTGGCCAAGATTTGGAGCCACTGAGAGTAGCTTCCACTAGGAGATGCTGAGGATGGAACTGGCTCTGTCCCTGTTTCACTGCAACATCTTCCTGAACACCACAAGATATTTCTTAGCCCTGGTTCTCACACTCTGTAGGCTTTTATACCATAGCTACCATCGCAGTCAAGGAAGGCTTTCTGTCCTTTCTTTGTGTCCACTAGCAGATTTTGTTGGCTAGTAGAAAGTTGTAAAGAACACAAAGGAGTTCAAACACATCCTCTCTACCCTATGTGTGTGCTATTAGGAGATCATGACATGCCTTTGGTCTGGTTTGAGGTTCCCTTCACTCAAGTTTCTGGCTGAAATAGAGTGTTTATTCCCTGAATGAAACTGCTACATGCTTTAGGCTCAAAAGACTTTTCTCATTTCTTAAATCAAATTGGCCTTGATAGTAACCAGCTTTTGAATACTCAGTGATATAATGCTTTTATATTCAAACAATATTTATACTTATCCTGAAAGTGGCTTCAGCCAAACCTTCTAGCTTGTAGGGTCTTCAGGACAGGGAGCAGTGTGGTGCTGCCGCGTAAGATCCCCACCTTCAAATGCAATGCACATTCTTGAGTCTCTGCAATGGTGTTGGGGTCTAGTTTGCAAAGCTTGGGTTGGCCAGGGTGGTCCCCACATGTTGGAAATGAGGGAACTGGACCCACCTTTCTGCTGCTAGGTAGGGCTGCTAGGACAGCCACCTTAGAGGCAGTGTGGTCCAGGGAATGCCATCATGATCTGTCCCCATGCTGGCACTTGATTTTATGCAAGAAAAAAGCCTCCTGGTTCCAGTCTTTCTGGTGAATTAAAGTCAATGGCAATTTCATATTGCCTTTGAGAGAAAGACTGAATAAATTAAATTGAGATCACTTAACAAACAGTGCTACTGTGTTGCAGATACAGTTGTTTATTTTGGATTATTTATGGGCACAGCTGTAAACTCAGCTCTTCTATACATTTGGTGAAAAGTGACTTCAATATTTAACACTTATACAGTGCTTACCATGGCCATGTTACATCTCTGATTGACATCAGTCCCTATAAATTTAATCAGCTGGGAAAGGACAGCAAGAAGGAGTTTGTGCATGTGGTAAGTGTGGTTTTTTGCTTTTTGTCATTTTCGTGCTTGTTATGCAGCATATTGAATTACACTTCTGGTGTAAATACACTTTCATTCTGTTTTGCTGATGCTAGAGTACATATACTTGTCTGTTTGACAGTGGATTAAATACAGTAAAATTGTTTGCCTTTGGATTTCTAAGAGGATATTCAGCTGTGAGGCTGATTTCCTGCAGAACACTACAGGTTTCTTGAGTCACTGCACTATACAGTTACAAAGTTTGAAGAAATTAGCCACTATCTGTTATGTTGGTTTGGATAAAGATATGCAGGACTCTTGAGTCGACTTCCAAAAATTGGAAGGGCAGACCCCAGAAGTTCACACAGATCTGAGTATAGAGCTCATGCAATACAGTTTGATTTTCTGTCTGAACTTATCTATCTTACAAAGACGAAAATCATTCTCAGCCCAGAGAGGTACACCAAGGAGGTCTTTCCTAGTTAGACCTCCTTTCATTAAGCACACTGCTGAAATGGTATCCACCTTTCTATACCATTTCCTTTCTCTTATTTACTGAACCGTTTGTAGAAGGTGGAAGGTCGTACAGACTCATACCAGGACTAGGATGCTGGAAGAGAAGTGACAGACTGGCAAAGCCCATTCTCCAGTTCCAGAAATGGATTTTTCTGCAAGAATCTGAAATAAGATGATGGATGAGGACTCAGTATTGTGTCTTGGGGGAGAGGAGGGGCGGTCTTGAAACATGGATGATGTAGATCACGGCTCTTTCAACAGCTGTTGAACGCATCACAGGGCTGGATTGCAAGCATTTTTGCAATTCCATGCAGAATTCAGGCTGTACTATTATTATTTATCTGTGTGGAGAGACAAAAATTGCAGAGCAATAGACAAGAAAGTAAGTATTTCATAGAAGGATGGGCTTTAAAAAAACAATATTTAAAAATTGATCTATTCAGGCTCCTTCTCCGGATATCTACAGAGGGAAATATAAAGAAGACCACCCAGATCCAGCAAGTGCTTATGCTGAAGAAGTGAAAAAGATTATTGAAGAAACACAGAAGAATGGACGTAAGGTGTGTGTTTTGTGCTCTATAAATGCTAAGGCTTCGTCTGTGAAGTGCGGCATGGGGGCTTGAAACAGGCAACTAAGTACATGTTTCTTTACTCAGTTTCCCTTGCTTCCCCCCACACTTCATTTTCCATGGTGGGTTCTGTGTTCAAAATGGCCCATTTTTCTACCTGATGTTCTTATTATAGTATTTCTAGGCATCAACGAAAGGATCAGTAATACAGCTGTAAATAAGCAGATACAACCAAAGCAGTTTTATTTCTTATTTTATGCATTGAATCAGTAGATTATGAAAATCTTAGGGCAAGCTTTGAGGTCAGATGAGAAACTGCATCTCAGATTCTAGCAAGGGTATATCAAAGTCTCCAGGACATGGACAAAATATGCTGGGTAAAATCTTGATACTACATTTACAGGTCTAGTAGCTTGAGGTAGCTTTATAGTCATCTAAAAAGATGTACCCTTCAATCATTACAATATGACCATGATAAAAACAGACAATTCCTGAACAAGTTTACCTAAAATGTGTTTTGTATGATTGCATTAGTGTTTTGAGACATGTAGGGCTTGATCCAAAGCCCACTGAAGTCCCAGAAGACTTCACTGGGGGTTGGAACAACATGTTCTCATCTAGTCCAGTGCACTTACATCACTCTTCTTATAGTTTCTTCATCAACTTTTTTTTTATTCTCTACTAACGGATAGTTTTGTTTTTTCTTCCCTTGTTTCCTTTCTTCTGCATATTTCTTAGGTTTTGGTGGCATAGACCTGTGGCAGGACAAGTTGTGCTAAAGGCTAAGCCTCACATGCTATGGGAAGCTTCGTACTCTTTGGCCGTAGCATGCCTCTTCAAATATAGTGTACGATTCTTTACACGTTACTGCTCGGCCTTGTTTCCAGGAAGACTGCACCAGCCCAGAGAGACCTCTTCATGCTCAGGGAGGGGTTCACAAGTGGTGTGGGGATGCAATCCCTTAAATAGCAGACTTATGCCGAGACTTTGGGGTAATATCGTATCTCTGCTGCATAGACCTCTGCTGTTGACAAGAAACGAATTTTGATGTTCCAGTGTATCTGATCCGCTGCTCTTACCCTTCCTGAGTTGAAATAACTTTCTTTTTCATTCCTAGCAACTGGAATTATTTCACCTGTAGAATTTTTCTCCTCTTTTGTCAAGTGCCTCATGCTGACATTTTACTTGTGTAGTTACTTGCATTAAGCAGGGGTGCCCAAAGCGTAGCCTCAGGTCATCTTACAGTTCAGCTTCTACCAACCACTAGCTGGTGTTCAGGATTGAACAAAAAAGCTGATTGCCACACATACGCATTACTGGAGAGCCATGCCATTAAGCAAGTTTCATTAACCTCTTGGGGAAACGAGTTTCACACACAACACAGTTGTGTGTCTCCTGTAAATTGAAATTTGTAAATAAGTTTACAGAGCTCGCAGGAGCCTGATCCAACATCCACTGACACCAGTAAGCGTCTTCCACTTCAACAGCTGTAGGACTAAAGCTCAATAGAGATCCTTGTATTCCCATCAGGTTGCAAAGGTGGCCCTGGCTACTGCAAATTTGGGCACCCCAGGTTACAAAATGAATAAATTCTTTAGCCATAGCTGTTCTCAAGAGGCCTCAGTTGTCCAACCCATTGCGTGGTTAAATTAAGGCACACATTTAAATACTTACTTCTAGATCATTAGATATTTGTGTAAATGCCAAGTAGATGAGCACAGTTCTCACCTAAGTTTGTTTTTTATAGATTGCTGCCTTCATAGCTGAATCCATGCAGAGCTGTGGAGGCCAAGTAATTCCACCTGTGGGCTATTTCCAGAAAGTGGCAGAGTACGTACATCACTTTAAAAGGGTGTAACTGGAAAAATTACTAAAGAAACAGGTTTTTCACTATAGGCTTATCCAATCAGTTAATCTATCACCATCTCTTGGGTTTGGCTATCTGTGGTTCCTTTCTACTTTTTGAAGAGTATGATTCCACTTCTATTTTTTTATGGAACATCAGCTGACTAAATGTTTTTAGCTGGATAATTGTCTTTCCTTTTCTATCTTTAATACTCAGGCCACAAGTCTGATGGATGATGAAGTTGAACTTTCATAGCTAGAACCCTGCAGTACCATTACAGTGCCCTGTTTTGCATCAAAGTATCAGATTTTTTTCTTAACATTAAGCAAACTGATAATTTTATAAATTGAAATAGCTATAGCTGTGTTTCAGCAGCTATGTTCATTCTTTTTTCCTAACCTGGTCTCTCACTGGGGAATTTCTGTAGTAGAAACTCTTCTGTCCCAGATTGCTTACCTGAGACGTACTGCAGCACTAGTCATTCAAGCTGTTCTGTTTGTTTTCAGGTATGTGCGTGCGGTGGGTGGAGTGTTCATAGCTGATGAAGTACAGGTTGGCTTTGGTAGAGTTGGGAAGCATTTTTGGGCATTCCAGCTGCAAGGCGAAGACTTCGTGCCTGACATCGTCACCATGGGAAAACCCATTGGCAATGGCCACCCTATGTCTTGTGTGGTCACAACAAGGGAAATCGCTGAAAGTTTTGGTGCTTCAGGAATGGAGTATTTCAATACAGTAAGTTTGTATGTGGAAGTTTAACTTCTTTTATTTTGGGCTGCATTTAGCAGTTAGAAGTTGTTCAGATGATTCAGCTAACATGTGCGTCCATCACTGCATCTCATTATTTGAGAGTCAACCACAGTCATATACCTAAAAGCAAGTGGAGAGGCTTTGAAATATGCTCTGTATCTAGTGACATATCTTAATATGAACCAGCCCTAGCTCTCTGGGAAGCCATGCATGTCAGTGCACATCCATACAGATAAATTCTTCCTTCCTTTTCTCTCTCCCTGCTCTGGAATGTTGACCATGTAAAATTTCATTTTCTAGGACAGGCTTTGTGTTGGTGGCATTCATACCCTGGCAGACCTTGCTCTGCAGTTGGCACCTAACAAAACCCTAACAAAAAAAGGTGACCCTTTACCACAAAATATTTGAGCTGCATGCATGCCACACAGAAGCAGCTTTCTTCTCATTTACTGAGTCCTTTTTCTGCTCCCGTGACTGAGTCTTCTTCCCAGCTACCTTGAATCCCCTGCTTTTAATGGAGTTTATACCCTCTAGTTCGAGAAATAGCAGATCTATCACCCACCCACTGCTCTTCATAGGAGTATTTTGCCTGTACATGTAGTAGGCAAACCAGGAGAGCAGCTCGAACATCTTCAGATGTGAAATCTTCAAATTACTGAAACTCAAAGCAGGGGAAGGGGTAACCCCTCCCTTGGGTCTCTTACACTGCCCAGAGTGTAGGGGATGGTGCTCCACAACCTGCATGGCATAAAATCTCCACCTCTTCAAGCATTCCTCATGACACACCAATCCAGAGAGGGGAAGTGAAGGATAGGCACAGTTGAATGTTTCTTGATGAGTTTTGTTTTCCTGTTTGTCTTTACTATCAGTTTGGAGGCAATCCAGTGTCTTGTGCTATTGGTTTAGCTGTGCTGGAGGTAATAGAACAAGAAGATCTCCAAGGAAATGCTATACGTGTAGGAAATTATCTCCTGGAGTTGCTGGCTGAGCAAAAGGAGAAACATCCCTTAGTGGGAGATATTAGGTAGGTGCCTTACAGCAATGTCAGAGAAGAATAATAACTGTGCTAGAAAAATAAACAAGTTGGGGGGTGCTGGGAACACAGAAACATTATGTTATGATTGTGCTACACCTTTTTTAAAATGGACTACACAAAACTGATACTATAAGGCAGTATATTTTTCAAAGTTGTCCATCCATCCATCCGTAGAATTCAGCTTCAGAATTCAGCTCTGAAGTGTATTCGCTAGAAAAGCTCTCAGAGAGAGTAGCAGGAAGAGCCATCCGCATGCAATAGCCTAATTGTCAGTGCACTGTTGGGATGTTGGACCTTGCTCAAATCTCTGGGCCATTTCACTTGGAGATGTTGGTGTGGGTTTTCCTCATCTCATGTTACTACCATGAAAACTGTCTTCAGGTTGGGGGAGAAAGAGGGTATTGAGTTTTGAGGGTTTTTTTAGTTCTTGGTTTTGGTTATTTGTCTTCCTGGCTTGAGGTTTGCAGGGTAAGAGAGAGAGAATATTATGATATATATAGAATAGATATATATTCTATAGAACGATAAAATCATTCTTAACTGGCCACATAGCCTTAATAAGCCAGCTAAATTTATATATCCAGAAATACCTGTTATACCACTTGATCATCTGAAGTAGCCAGTGCCAAAAGAGAACACCTCCTCTCTTTCCTGCTCGCTCTTTCTCCCTTGTTCCCCAGGCAAGGGAACTGCAGTTTTTAGAAACAGGTTTGGTATTTTCTTGCAGCAGAAGGCTGGGGTTACTGACACTGGATTTCACTGGTTTGTACTTTTTGTCTCTGTTCCAGGGGTGTTGGATTGTTTGTTGGAGTGGATCTGGTGAAAGATCAACAAAAGAGAACACCAGCCACAGCTGAAGCCCTTCATCTTATTTACAAGTAAATGGCTTTTAAAGACAGTGTGCAGTGATCAAACCCTCCTAATATTCCCCAGCAGTTAGTCATTGATTTCAGTTTAAATTTGAGTAGCTTTTGATAACGTAGCACAAGGAAAAAAAAGTTTCAAAATCTGATTTGGTCACAATACAGTTTTATACCTGTGTCTAACACAGAAGTTTCCTCTTTCCACAGGCTGAAGGAGCATCAAATCCTTCTTAGTTCAGATGGACCCCACAGAAATGTACTAAAATTTAAACCACCAATGTGTTTCACAATGGAAGATGCACAACACGTAGTGGAGACAATTGATGCACTTCTCACAGGTGTGTATGCTTTGGCCTCGAAGGAATGCTCTTCTTTGTTCATTTCTAGATGACCCATTAGAAACACCAGCCACCATAATCTAGGCCATTACATGCAAAAGAAAGTAATCAATTACATTTCTTACCACTTGTCCACACTGATGTTCTTAATGCAAATTATTATAAATAAGTAAAAAGCTCCATATGTACTTCATCTAATATTTTAAGCAAAATCCTGCTCTTGATCCTTTCTCTCACAAATGTAGCGTTACTACTTACTTCTGGTCACATATGCTATGTATTAAGAAGCAAATATATTCATTCAGACAGGCCTGAAAAACACTGGTGAAACTTTCCAGAAGGTGCTCTACCATTTTTATTTTATTTTAACTGGCGTAGTGGAACGTGATTGTCTCACTTAAATTTAGCCTGAAGGTTTTCAGGCTCCATTTATCTTCTACCTGGGGACCAATCCAGGTGAAAATAATGTACACTAGGTATACTATTAACATAAGGACTCTCCAGGCCCATTTGACATTGAATGCTCCCATCTCCTGAGATTTTAACAACTGGAGTTAGACTAGCACAAACCGTCAGGACAGAGGAAGAATTCAGCTCCGAAAGGTCTGTCTGAACCCCCATGCTACAGTCAGGCCTCTAATTTCATTCTTTTCTCTCCAAGCTACGCAGTCCAGATATGTTAATCACATTGCCTCAGAAAAATGTTTTAGGAAGTATTCATCATTTTTCAGTTATTCTTCTGTGTGATAAATGCTCAGAGGAATAGCTGATGAGGTATTCTTTACTTCAGCCAGCTGTTTGTCCTGGGTTCAGCTACAGCAGTCATTTTTTCTCCTTCTTAGTAGCTGGTGCAGTGCTGTGTTTTTGACTTTCAGTCTGGGAACAACGCTGATAACACCGATGTTTTTAGTTGTTGCTCAGTAATGTTTACTCTGACCAAGGACTTTCTCAGTCTCATGCTTTGCCAGAGAGGAGGGGAAGCCAGTGGGAAGCAGAGGCAGGACACCTGACCCAAACTGGCCAAAGGGGTATTCCATACCACAGCACGTCATGCCCAGTATATAAACTGGGGGGAGTTACCCGGAAGGCCCAGATCGCTGCTCGGGTCGGGCTGGGTATTGGTCGGTGGGTGGTGAGCGGTTGTGTCCTTTTCCCTTGTTATTCCTCTTATCATTATTATTGGTAGCAGTAGTGGTTTGTATTATACCTTAGTTACTGGAGAGCTGTTATCTCAACCCGTGGGAGTTACATTCCTTCGATTCTCCTCCCCATCCCTCCGGGAGCAGGGGGAGGAAGGAAAAGGGGGGGAGTGAGCGAGCGGCTGCGTGGTTCCAAGTTGCCGGCTGGGCTTAAACCACGACACTGTTAAATTGACTGTATGTTTACTTATCCCAGTTCATTTGTAATTTCATTATTTTATTCTTTTTTCTAGAAATTGAAGAGGCCACTGGAATGAAGACAGAAAATAATGCATCTGCAAATGCACAGTATAAAAGAAAAGTATGTTTTGAATTTTTTTTAACTCTTACTCAGATAGGTGTTTGACAAAGCAAGTGTAAATTTGGTAGAGCACACCTTCATCTTTGGTAGTGTGAGTAGTTCTGTGCCTTGAAACTGAGCTCAGAATGTAACCCGTTACTAGAAACCTGAGAGGATTGTGTTACTGGGGCAAATTTAAAAAGAGCTGAGTAATACAGACCTGCAACAAGAATCATGTTATAGGCAATCCCCTCGCCTTGTCTGCCTTGTGTGCAGACAAGACCAACCAGACTTTGGGCTGGACGAAATTGTGAACTCAGCAGTCAACAACTTTACTAGTTCTAGTTATTGCATGCTAGTGATGGATATTTGGCTTTCTAAGCAAGCCTTCAGCCTGGAAGATGTCCAAGTTTTCGGAGAATGCCAAGGATTTAGTTTCCACCATAGCTCTTTGAGTATGAATGGCTGACATGCATCCAAATTAGGACTTCTTAGGTTGCAGCCCCAGCTTTGGATAAATCATCTATAATTTTTCACAGCCTTAAAACCCTGTCACCCACTGTGTTTATAGGAAAGCTCACTGAGTTGTCCCTTGGTGAGTTTTTCAGTGTTGGTGCAAAGAGTGTGAAGGCAATCTCTCAGCTGCCTAGGGATGTAGTAATTAAGGCAGAGACCCTATGGATTATTGGTTATCTAAATTTTATACTAGATTTGGAGTGAAAGCCTCCTCTTACAGACATGTGTACACATTCAGTTCAATTTCTTTCAAAACTAAGAAGTTGGGCCGCTGAAAGAGGAAAGTCAGGCAGAGCTACCTGATGGGAACCAAAACCAGCAGTTGCCAGTTGGAAGACACACACATGCCTTCATTGACATTTCACTTCTGTTTCAGACAATTGAAGGGAGTTCTCAATTGGAAGGTTCAAATGAAAGTATCGGCCATATGAATGGAGCTGCCTGCAGACAAGAAAATGGGCTTTATTCTAAAAAATGCTCACTGCCAAGTGAAACAATAAGAACATGAAGAAGGAAAGTTTCCTCATTCGGTTTGAATTTGTGTCCGGTTTGCTTTCGAGAAGAGTGCAATAGTCAGAGTCCCGTGATCTGTTTGAAGCCTAGTCCTATCTTCCATAAGCTGATTGAATTCCTGTTAGCTTCAGTAGGAGTTTAAAATACCTTTTCAGATACATGAGCGACAACTGCGCCATGTGGCTTGAAATCTAGATGTGACAGAATGGACAAGTGATACATAAATACCTTGGTGTTGATGGCAGATTTGACATAGGTACACAAACTCAGTGAAATCTGTGCATTTACCTGTATTACATAGAATTTGAATTGCTTAACCACCATACAAGCAAATGCCAAGCCTATTAAGTTTAAAATTACCTGCTTAACATGCTATTTTAACAATATTTTAAATTTCAATATTTAATATTGAGATGTTAATTACTTCCCATGTTTTAATGGCTGAATTCGCAAAACAATGCTTGAGAGAGAAATCATTATTATCTTCCAGTGTAACTTAGGTCCTATGGACCGTATTCCCAGCTAATGTAAATTGGTGTAGCTTTGTTAATGTTAACGATGTTCTATCAAGAGTCTACCACTGTGTGTGTAGAGACATGATGTTTATGCAGGGCATTCTCACTTTATGTTCAAAGAAAATTATGGTTCTGGATCCTAATTTTCTATGGATAAAGGAACTTTTATAGGTAACTATTTATATAGAGTAATATTTTATCTTTTTTTTTTTTTTTTTACCCAAAAGTTTATATATTGAACCCTCTCAGTCAAAAAAAATATGCAAGTAGAATATATGTCATTTCAGACACACTGATTGGTTGAATTTAACTTGAGGGTCTCTCAAAATGAGGTTCCCAGGGACAGCCCAGCTTGTATTCGCATGGATTTGAGTTGTTTTATCCTGTTGTAGCAGTGCTGTTACTTTTTGTCAGTGGTGATGAAGAGTCACACACCAGTTGCATGGGATCCTGACACATATATAGCTGTGCTAACATTTGACAGATTGCTAAAATGAGAGGACCACTGCATAAAACATGCATGCAACCACTGACTAACTGTGCTGCAGATATTTTAGACTGACTTGTCAGTGTTAAATTTCAACAAGAGCACACAAGCCCTGCTTCTCTTTAATACATGTAAAACTCCATGCTATAGAAGATACTGGGGGCTTTACATATGGTTTGCACCTCAGAAAGAAAGGACAAACTATATTTATTTCTTCTTCAATTTTAATACTCTGAGTTCTGCTTTTTTGTAATTGCTGCTAATGACCCAACTGATATGTCTGAAAATTGAGCACCTTATGTAATTTTGTGTTTTCCACAGTTTGCTATATTAATATTGATGTATCCAGTGTAGCGTCTTCCAACATCCTCAAGCTGGCTTATTTTCTGTTTCATGATTCTTGAATAATTCTTCCATAAAATAAATCTCATATTTGTAACTATCATGTCCTCCACAAAGAGGTTTTTTGCTTTAATTTTGTTCTTCAGTAACATCTATTTGATGAGGGAAGTAACTTCAGTTTTGGCTGGGGATTGTCTCCATCCCAAAGCAGAACTGTGTTTCCCCAAGGCCCTACATGGCTCTCAGCTGCTGGCAGCTTTTTGCTTCTAAGCCAGATGCTACCTCAGCTGCCAGAATTCAGCTCCCGCTAAACCTGCACCAGGAAGGCAGCCACAGGTCTTTCCTGATATGGAAATACACGAAGACCAAACACTGTCATTTAAATGAAGGAATCAATCCAGCAGTTACCAGCAGCTGAGCTAGATCTACTAGAACTACTATTACTATATCATTGTTAATGTTCCTGCAGTATCTCAGAGTCCACCTGCAAGATACTGTGAAGGGCTTACTAATTAAAAGACTAAAGAATGGGAGAGTGGAAGCAGAAATAATTAAGGCTAAACACAGAGAAAATAGTTCCAATCAGCTGAACTGATCAAATATATTCTCTCCACTGAACAAGCAAGGCTTTTTTCCCCCTTTCCAACTGTTTCGCTTTTTCTTTTTTCTACCTCTCCTGACCTGCCTGTGTAATTCCTGGCTTTAGCCATATGGTTCAACGTCCACCCTGGCCCTTACATTCATCAGATGTCTCTGTAAGCCGGTTCAACTCACTAACCTTGCAGAAAAAAATAAAACCATCCTTTTTTCCCCATCAGTTTTCTGCAAGACTAATGAATAAGCTCATGGAGGAGGCCTGAGCCTGCACAGGCCATGCAGCAGGAGGAAGAGACAGTGAGGTGAGGGAAAGTCAGGATTCAATCCCAAATAGGCATCACACACTGGAGTTAGTTTCTTCTAGCTTCACTTTACCTACTTAATCCTACTGAAATCTGAATCAAGGTAGTTTACCACTGTTTCGATCACTTTTATATGTTATATTTAAGACATTCGAGCAAATAGGCTGGTTAAAACAAGGGAAAAAGAAAGGAGAGTGCTTCCTGCGAAGGCTGATGAAAGCGTGACTCTCAGAGTCTGAACCCACTGCCAGTTAAGTCAAGTCGCCTACACAAAAGCAAGCAAGACTGAGCCTGTGTGGAGTCAGACAGCTATGCCTTAGCACTGTTCTGGGGAGAAGAATAAGTATCAAAAGTTGCCATATCAACACACATATCAACCACCGCTGAACTGCCAGGGAAAGAGAGCATGCCACATGCCCACATTTGGGTAAATAAGCCACAGCCTTACCTCCATTAAACACTGCAATGGGAATACACTGAGTAGAAGAATTATGCAGGAATATTACATTTTGTCTGTGACTTTTTAGATACATGGTTACTTAGACAAACAACACAGTCTTGTCAGATAATACCTTTATAATCTTCATAGCTGTAAGCTCAGTGGCTCTGAACTGACCGACAGCACTTGACACAGCAAAGTCCAGAAGGCAAAAGTCCCTTGAAGAAGCAAGCTGTGATGAAACAGGATAAAAAGGGGGAGATGAATGAAGGGGACTAAGGAACAGGCCTGAAACACTTATTTTACATTTGTTGTTGCATTCTGCAAGGCATTTCTGTTTAAAAAGAATAATTATTTGCAAGCAGAGCAAATTAACTCATAGCAGCAGAAATGTTAGTTTAAATTTCCAGGTTTCTCAGTGATGTCTTGAGCAGACATTCTAGTAGTGTCCCTTTTCAACCTGGAGTTGGCCTGTGCTGCTGCCATCCAAGTTTTAGCAGGAGGATTATGCAAGGAAAGTTAAGGCCAAGGATTTCCCTATCTCTGCTACCCATACACATTTGCATTTTCCCACCTGGATCATTTGATTTTGTTGGTGCCTGCAGGTCAACAGAAAAGCTGAATTAGAAAAGACAAGTTATGTTTTTGCATTTCCCACTGACTTGTGTTGTCACTGGACTGTGTTGTGTCATCTCCAAAGGCTTCAATTTCCAGAGATGCTGGGTATCTTACAAAGGCCGTAAGGGAGATGTCTACACAGCATGACTCTTCATGTTGATATTTCATAAGGAAACACGTTTGGGCCTAAGACCCTAGATACAAAGCATTAAACCAAAAGTTTAAAGCCTTCACTTAGCTTCACAGCTCAGGATCAATCTGCATTAACCAAAACAGTCTCCAGTCTCTCCCACCTCTGATCACAGCCACTCATGTGCATTAGGGTAAACACTGCTCCAATATCACAATAACATACATTTACAACAATATGGAATTAAAAAAAGAAAATAGTAAAGAAAGGGGAAGGGGAAGAACATGAAGAAATGTGTTTCCACACAGCACTAAAGGTTGCTAAAGACTTTAATAATAGACCAGGCAGAAAGTCTTGTGATCACATGAAATTCTGACATCTTTCTGTCTCTGTTTACTTCCATGTATAAAAGCAGCTATAATAACCTTCATTATGGAATAGGTTGCCCAAGGAAGTTGTGAATGTTCCAACCTTGGTGGTGTTCAAGGCCAGATTGGACAGAGCCTTGGGCGACATAGTTTAGTGTGTGGTGTCCCTGCTCATGGCAGGGGGGTTGGAACTAGATGATCTTAAGGTCCTTTCCAACCCTAACTGTTCTATGATTCTATGTTTTTTAAAGGTTAATCACTGTATCAGGCACAATCGTAATTATATAGGACTGCAAATTACAGAGTACAGCTAGCTTAATTTACTTATTTGCAGTTACCTCTTCTTATTCCCTACTTGCTTGTGGTTTTGCCAGGAACTAAATCCCTATGATGTGCAGTACAAAGTCAGAGACTGGTTAGGTGAAATATAATGAAGCAATGGAGAGACACAAACACAGAACAACAGGGAAGAAAGCAGTCTGGCTAGCATCTCCCAGGAAGCATAAAAACCTGTAAATGTGTTTTCAGCTGGCACAGGGCACTTTTTTTAAGCAAAAAGAAAGCTTTTTGTCTCCAAGGCTTAGTTTCTTCATTCTAGTCACAAAATAAGACATGAAAGGAATTCATCTGGAAAATGTGCTGCTAACATGCTCCAGTGGCTTGCTCTTGAAAACAAAGATTTCTGTTCACAGTACTTACAATTAGCTTTCAGCTAAGTTAGATTTATTCTACTTTCTACTAGGCAACATACAGGTCATACAAATCATAAACAAATTGGACTATAAGAACTGACTATATTTTGCACATTCATCTTTGAAGAACACTATTATAGTACAGATGAGACTCACAAGTCTCTGTGAGGCAGGACTAGAGTCCCTTCCAACTTATGTATGTATCTATGCAAAAATAATCACTGCATTTAATGCTGCTTTCTGCACTCACAGCCAAATGAAGACATGGATACACTGGTGAAAGAATTACTTCAAGTGTAAGATAGATTTAATGTAACAAAGTTTTTTCTGTCATAGATGTGTAAATATTACAAATATCTACCAGTAAACATAGCATCTTCACTCTTTTCTCTCACAAGAGAAGTTGCAGAGTTACCTGTGAGCACTGTATGAAAATATTTGCCCTGGCTTGGTTTCATATGAAGTTCATAAGACTCTTCCTTCATGCCTCTACTTACTTGCCCCC